AGTGGAGTAACAGCATAAGCAAATCCAACCAGTGTGTGCTGCAGACACACATACACACACACACGCACAAAGTAAGCAACCCTCTTTACTTTGAAGAGAGACATTTGTGCAAAGTAGCCCCTAAAAATCACTTTGTCTGCTGTGCCATAAAAAAAACCCAGAGATTTGTTTCCAATATTAGATAATATATTTTTAGGCTCTAGTTACTGTTTTCCCCAAACTCATGACATAAGCTTCTCTTTGAATTCATTTGTGTCATCATGTCTACAGAACTCTACAAGCCTAACCACTTAGGTTATTGAAAAAGCATCATTTTTTCCAGTTAGGCCAAACATCAGTCATTGAGACACGTCTGTTGTAGTTGATTCCATTAAAAGGCTAGTGTCATTGACACAATGGTCAAAACACGACAGACTATACCACAAATGGCCATCTTGGTTTGAGGTGCTCACCAAATGCTGAAGATTCTCTATCCTCTAACTCAGTATGTGGTGAGTTGTATCTTTCCTTGTTTCCAAATCTGAGTGTCTGAGTAATAAACAGCACCAACACAAATCCAGGTTTATTTTAGGCATACTGTTTAAGTTTCAATATTCTGTGATGTATGAATTTGTTACCCATTGAACAGATAGGGAAGCTGCGTTAAAGAAGATACTCGAGGTTGCACCATGAGTCATGAGGCCATATCAGAACAAGAACTCTTGGCCTAATCTGTACTCTGGTGTCCCATCATATGTTTTATCTAGCCCAACCTCAAGTTGCCAGCAGCAGTCTCCACCAAATCTAGACTGTAGTGATCAAAATACTTGGCAGAAGAGTCATCTTTGTCATCACATTGTATTTCTAAAGCAAAGTCCAGGTGACCCTGCTGTTGATTATTCAATGACACCCCATGTCTTTTTTCAAAACCCACCTTCTGAATTGAAAAAGAACAAGGAAAATATTTGAGGACTTTCTAGTTCTTAGCCTGGAAAATATAGTAAGATAATCTACCATTTTTATCTATCCGTAAGGAAATACTCTGCTTTCAAAAAGGTGGTGTGGAGACCAACTAAAAAAGACAGGAAGACACTATCTGAAAAAGAAGAGGTCCCCAAATGACAAATACTGAAAGTGTTGATCACTCGGATGCTAACTGGCCTCCCCAAATGATCTAAAAAGCTGCACACTGATTACGTGCCTTGGCCAGGTCCCTCCCATTAGAGTTAATGAACATCTCAGGGACCTGCTTGGCCACATTCCCATTGTAAGTACTGAGCTAGGGACATACACCACGTTGGAAACTCAAAGATTTTCCCTTCCCTGAGAGGAGTTTCATCATGTTTTGTTTGGGGTGTATTCCTAACTTTATTGTAATAAAAACATGTTGCATTTGGGAAAGAGTCAGGATTTGTCTGAGAATGGGTAGTGCTTTGGGTTTTTTGTTTAAAGCCTAAAAATAAGAAGGAACATTTGGCAGAAACCCAGGTCCTGAAGATACTGTATTATTCTAACTATTAAATATAAGGAAATTCAATATATGCTTCTTAATTATTATTTTTGTCAAATGCGTAACTCCTGGAATGTCCCCCATTAGCCTTAACTATATTAATTTTTCCACAGCTACAAAAACAGAAAAAAATCATGCCATAACTCTTATTATCACCAAGCTGTTGTTCTTTGGTTCATCTTTAATGTATTAAATATATAAATATATTAAAAATTTAAAGTATTCATCTGAAGAATATAATTTTCACGAGGAAATAAATCGAATAATGATCAACCTTAGAGACTATCATGAGGAAAAAACAACACATTTCAATCTGCTTTTCAAAAATTCTGCTGACAATTTCCAGCATGTATGCACACTCTCACGCACAACCCTCACACCCACGCATACTCTGACTACACACATACACCCTCATGCATACATTCCCTCATTTGCACCTCCTCGCCACGTTATCTAGATTCTTCCTCTTCTGTTGCTATCTAAGTAGTGATTTTCTTTTGGATCTGTCCAAAAAAAGTGTTTTTTAAAGAAATGTTTTCAGGGGGAGTAATTCTGTGGGATTTGAATAGGTGGTCCAGGGTGTGTGTGTATGTGTGTGTTCCATGGTTAGTTAAAAGGGTTTAAGAAATTCGGAGGTAAAGAAAGCTAAGCACACCTTCTTACAGTAGGCTCTTAGGACAGAATTACTCAGAGCCCTTAATGAACTAATGTATTGTATGCATCCTTAATAGAAGCATGTTGTATATAGACTGTGCTTTCTGACTGGTAGCAGCTTATTACATGGCTACTGAGCCCTTGCTATGTGGCTGATCTGAGTTGAGATATGCTGCAAATATAAAATACACAATGTAGTACAGAAAAAAGGGTAAAATATCTCATTAATAAATGTTTTCTATTGATTATATCTTGAAATGATAATATTTTAGATATATTGGATTAAATAAATATATTAATATTAATCTCACCCATTTCTTTTTACCTTTTTTAATATGACTGTCAGAAACCTTAGAATTACATATGTGGCTAGTATTATATTTCTATTGGACCATGCTGATACAGAGCATGTTTCAAATGTAGTTGACCATAAGAATTAGGTTTTGTATAATATCTTATGGATGTAGTCTTGTAGGCTTTGAATTCTGAGATTATACCTTTTACTATTTAGGTGGGGGCTGGTCAGCCTTTGCAATAGAAGCAAAGGTTGTTTTGCATTTGCCTAGGAACACTGGTCAGAATGAAGATGAATATTGTGTCTAAAAGTATTTTCTTGAGATCCTACTATGTGTCAGGCTCTGCATGAGGCACAGGGCACAGGTCAGTGAATCCTATAGATAGGGCTCAAAAGATAACAATAGAAACCAGCAAGTAAGGGCACTGTGCTTTACAGTGCTTACTCAAATGCAGATTCCTGGGCGCCACCTCAAACCTACTGAATGAGCTCTCTGGGAGTGGGCATTTCTAGCAAGCACTTCGAGGGATTGTGGAACACATTGAAGCTTGCAAACAACTGTGCTAGCTGGGTGGGTAAACATGAATAAAACATCTTCATCTGTCAGCCTCTTGGTTGCAAGCAACAGACATGGGCACTAGCTCTCTTAAATAAAAAGGGAATCAACTGGAAGGATATCAGGAGCTTACAGAATTGAAAGCAGGCTAGGAAAATGGGCTTCAAAAACAGAAAACAAGGAAACCTCAGAGGCTTGGAAGCAGGAACTGGATAGCTTAGGTGTGGTCAAGATATCACCAAACTTCCAGCCTACATCTTTGCATCATGCATGTGAGATTCAAAGTGTGAAATAGACCTCATGGTCAGGCATATATTGGGGTGAGGGCAAGACTTGGTCTCCTCTGTGTCTGTTATAGGAAACAGCAGTGAGAGGTAGTTTCTGGGAATAGCCATCCTTTCCATCATCCCCAAATTATAAATAATGGAGAATTCCTCTAAAAAGAAGGCCAAAATACTACCCCAAAATGTGTGATCAAGTGGGAGATGGAGGGACTGAATGCTCTGATGCTCCCAAATAACCACCGCCCAATGTAAGACCCTGAAGTAAAATAATCTCCAAAGTTGAGAGGGGGAGTATCAACATATATTATTTGGAAATTCCTCTGCAGGAAGATGTGCTTCTTCTCCCCATCCATAAAATAAATATTTTTATTTTATTCTTGGAGTTATAATCCAAGAGTACCATTATTAATTTTGTTGCTCAGATTGTTCCATTTTAGTCATTGGGGGCTCTTCTGGATTAGTTCCTATGTCTTCTCTCCAAACTAGTTTCTGGACTGGACAAGGCTTCTCAAAGGCAGGGACTCTGTCTTATTTGACTTTGCAGAATGGAAAATGCCTTATTCATAGATGTCACTGGGCTCGAAGTTGAAGATCCAAATTATTCTTCTGACTCAGCGAATACTCTTGTGTGTGAGGTTACGACAGGAAGCAGCTTTAGTCTAGGTCAGTAACCAACATGTAAAGAGTGTTTAACAACTTATAAGCATGTCCCGTTGCTTGATGCTGTTCCATATACACAACCAACCTATAAAGCTGATATCTGAGAACAGAACCCACATTGGCATTGACAGTAGAGCAGAGTCTTAGGGGGCCTTCTGCAGGGCCAAGTTTCAGCTCCTTAGTAGGTGGAGAGGTCTAGGTCCAGACCAAGGGCTTCTAAGAAATGAACAAGAAAGCCTAGGGTAGCAGGTAGTGCATAGTCATCAAGCATGTGGTCAAAGGATTGTTTGATGCAGTTTAACCACTGTATAAATATCTATAATTTATTTAAAGATTTTATTTATTTATTTGTCAGAGAGAGAGCACAATAGGGGGACTGGCAGGCAGAGGGAGAAGCAGGCTCCCCACTAAGCAGGGAGCCCAATGCGGGACTGGATCCTAGGACCCCGGGATCATGACCGGAGCTGAAGGCAGATGCTTAATCGACTGAGCCACCCAGGCATCCCTAAATATCTATACTTTTTAACATTTGGTACAGCCATATTAGAACATACCAGTACAAACTAATAATTTTCTCTGTATACAAACACCATGTTCCCTACTTATGGGCACTATTATGCCCATTTTATAAATTGAGATCAAATAATGTGCCAAGGCTGCAGAGCTAGAGATAAGACTAGATTTCTCAGTAGAGTTCTGTTTGTGACAAAATGAATTTTAAGAAATTAAGGGAATGAACTTGAATTTTGAAATTAACCAGATTCAGGTGCACCTTCTACCTTTTCTTAGAATTCCCCCTCATAATATGAAATGGCATATTATTGCATTCAAATTCTAAACCATGGGTGCTCAAATGCCTCCTGACTCTTTGATAAGACTTCCTTTTTACAAGGGGAAGAAAAGACACATTTTCTTGTGTTTTTTGACACACATCAAGTTTGAAAGTGGGATTTTTCATTTTCCAACCTGAGACCCTATCCTTCTACAGAAACGTTCTGCTCCAAGGTGCTGGAAGGGCTCTTGTCAGTGATAACCTGGCCCTGTGGCTTCTTCCTCCTTTTTTTTTTTTCTATTATAAAAGTTTATTTAACAAAAAAGTTCAATATGAAAATGCACACGACCTGATTTTTATATTATAGTAAAACAGGTACTATGGAGGGGACATGTGGAAGCAGTTGATTTCTTCTGATGAACACACCCATTGTTTATACTCGCTCCAAGGCTTCTAACATGATGATACTATTTCTTCGTATTACCACCATTCCAATATTGTTCTGTTGCCCACTAGTTGCCATCTCCACACATTCATCTATCACAAGATTCATAAATGGATCGAACCCCCGCAATATTCCTTGGACATGTCTGCCACCATTTAATTTCAATGACAATTTCTTGTCCATAAATTTTTTCAACTCGGGAGGGTGAGCTTTGCTCATGGTGTCTACTGCGCGAGCTCAAAGATGCCCTGGCTTCTTCCTCCTTAATCGGTTTCCCTGGACTGCCTGTGGTTCTGCACAGCTGGGGTTGATAAGAGGCTCTTGTGCTCATTGGGCCGTATTTTTAAAATTCTTATTTCTATCTTTCCTTCTCCAGGACAGATTCCTGGATAGAGATGCAGGTTTGCATTTTCTGCCTTCCAACAGGAGAGTCAAGTTTAGGCATACACTTGTGTAAGTGTGTGTGTGTGTGTAGATTGTGGACTGTAAGCTCAATTTTGCTTTTTGCTGACTCATTCAAAACCCTAGATGCCCTTACTTTGAACAGGTGCAATTAAAAACAAAAACAAAACCCCATATTCTCCACTGTCCTCAATATCTACTAGAACCTTTGATTTCTTGGCCTTCTAGGAGAAAAGGGGCCACTGAAGATGCAGTCCACATGGAAGATGCATCAGTAGACAACCATGTTTGAAGACAGAATGTTTAATTTCTAAGCCTTAAATTCCTGCATAGCCTAACTTATGACGTTGTCTTGTAAGAAGTGAGAAAACTGATTGAAGATTCCCTACCACAGAGTTAATGCTAAGTTAGAGTCAGCTATCATTATTGTTGTTTTCAGTCCTTTGGGGGCCAGGGCTGACTGGACTATAAGGACGGGAAAGCAGCGAATAGACTAACTAGCACCCTATGCCAAGAATGACCTAAGTAAATAAGTCCTCAGAAATGTGGCTTGATAATACTCAGAGGAAAAGTCTATTACTTATAGAAACTGAAGCTGAAAGGTCAAGATGTAGAAGAAAGGTCATACTGGGAACCATGACCAACCACAGGAAATCTCAATTTCTAGGCTATTGTAATTTTTGCCTTTTTTTTTTCTTTAAAGATTTTATTTATTTATTTGAGAGAGAGAGAATGAGAGATAGAGAGCACGAGAGGGAAGAGGGTCAGAGGGAGAAGCAGACTCCCCGCCGAGCAGGGAGCCCGATGCGGGACTCGATCCCGGGACTCCAGGATCATGACCCGAGCCAAAGGCAGTCGCTTAACCAACTGAGCCACCCAGGCGCCCCAATTTTTGCCTTTTTTGAACACATATTGGGCTATCCAATATCCTCATTTAATCATATAACTTTGTTACTTCTGACTTTTGAATGCATGTGTGTTGGTTTTGTGTCCCTATACCATTTAAGGTCCAGACAAGAAAACTGTAATTACTCTAGGTATCTCAAACAGAGAGGATTTAATATAGGGAATTGGTTACACAGCCCCTGGAAGAGCTGAAAGCAAAACAAGAGATGTGAGGTTAGCAATGGCAGGAAGCTAGTACCAGGTCTAGGACTGGAGAGAGAAAGGATATAAGTTACCAAAGCCCAGGATTTGGGGTCATATGCTGGAAGCTGGAATCATAATAGGCTGGCAGGTGGCAACTATGATCAGGTAGAGAGGGGGGTTCCCTGCAGAAAGGGAGCTACAAAGGAAATGCAGCCATGTCATGAGCACCCCATGACAAAGGGAATGGAGAGGTGTTCTTGCTCTGTCCTCCTCCTGTCCTTCAGTCTTGTACCTTGCCTCCCATTGGCCAAACCACCTGAAAGGCAGAGGGCAACAGAACCTGAGGAATGCAGTTCCCTGGGGAATGGAGCCCAGATCAAAAGGGCACTGACCAGCCAGGGCCAAACCACGTAAGCTGCTCGGTGTCATCTATGGCATCTCCAGGGTGTTTCTTCTCTGTAGGTGGTCCATTCTTGGGGTGGACATGTATGATTGCCTCTGTTTGGGGTGTAATTCTCTCTTAAAGATAAGAGCTATGAGAAGAGAAGCACTGAAATTCTATAGTCAAATTCAAGAGAATAGGCTTCAAAGTAAAAAGGATATTTTTAAACTCATCGAACTCTGCAGCTCATGTCTAATGTTTTCCAGCTACAACCTGATGACTCAGAAGATTTTTTTGGGCTTTTGTTTTAGCAAATCTTGATTATCAATGTGATCAGCCCTCTCCCAGATCTGGAGGGAATGATTAGCAGGCGGCTAGCTGTGAACTGAACTAGATAACGTTTGCACTTGAAAAGGACGCATCTTGCATCCTTAATCTCAAGTATACTTTAAATAGAATTGAAATAAATGTTTGCCCATGACCTCTGGTGGTGATGGATTCTGAATTTTGGATAATATTTTATGTGTTGCTTCTTTATTACCTTCCCAGTCACTCTGATATATGTATATGTGTGTGTGCATGTGTTTTAATTGCATTTGGATTAAATTATCAAAGCAATTGAAAACCCTAGGCAGTTCTTATATTGTAAAAACTAATTTTAGTTCATCTATGCAGTGTCAGAAGTTGAATCCACTTGTAAAGTGTTACTGGGTGACACAGGTTTTGTCATTTCCATTGCCTCATGGCAGAGAGGTAGAGTCCAACACGACTGGCCATTATTAATATCCTGCTACTGCTGGACACCAACTAGTAAAGTGGGCTAGGCTTCTTCAACATCTGGAAATCCTAAAGGAACTCCTTCTGAGCTTAGTATTAACTCACCCTGATGCTTGTTCTTTTGTTCATGCTTCGCCTCAAGGAGTTCACCCAGTGTATTTATTTTAAAACCAATACTTGCAAGAACAGTCACCTTACCAAGAAACACATCAGAGACTTTCTAGATCTTGGGCTGAAAATATCCCAGGATGTCAATGGAGACTGGGATTACATAGCCATGAACTACATTGTTTGTAACATAATTTGTGTGCTTTCACACATTTGTCTCTGAGGCCATCCCTTATTTGTAAAAAATATCCCTTCTGCCATTTATAGGTGGAATCAATCCATCCGTATGGATGTAAATGGAAGGCACTGAGGAGGTCCTCCAGCTTGGCATACTTCCCATTTCACCATGAGTTCCTGAATACGGGATCCAGTGGGAAACTCCTGTCCCATTTTTCACTCCTTTGAATGTGTCAGGGGTGTAGAGCTGGATACTTGTGGGGTGTCTGCCAGGCCCATATTAAGTAAGCCACTTCCTCTGAGAATTGCCTCTCTCCATACACATAGAGGATTGGGCCCCAGGTAGCCATGTTTATACAACTTGACTTCATCCACATTAATTGGACCTGAGTGGTCAATTGCTTGACCCATTCAGGGCCAGTTTCTTTATCTCTAGAATTTACAACAGAGAGAATACTATTCAGGGTGGTCTGGTATCTTGAACCAAGAAGATTTACATGGGAAGATATAAGCAGCCATTTCACCCAAGGGCATGAAATTCAAGAGGAATTACATGCGAAGAGAGAACAGACAAAGAGGTTAAAGTATTGCCTAGTGAATTCATTGCCTATTGTACCACAAACTGCCCCCAAAATAACAGCTTAAAACCACCAACATTTATTAGCTTACACAGTTTCTGAAGATCAGGAATCTGGGACCAGCTTAGCTGGGTATATGTGGCTCTCTCAAGAGTGTTCTGTCAAGATGTTGGTTGGGGCTAGAGAATGCTCTTCCAAAGTCACACATGTGGCTGCTGGCAGGAGGGTTCTCTTCCTTGCCATATGACTTTCTCCCTTGTCTTGCTTACAAGACATGGCAGCTGATTTTCCCCACAGCTGAGAGAAAGAGAGAGAGAGCAGCTAAGATGGTGGTGGAACTTAATTCTCCTCTTCTTGAGTGTGTACTAGACTTAGTGACTCTTCCAAGGACAAAAATATGGAAAGGGAAAAATAGTAACCATAAAGTACAGAAATATGGCAGATAACAGCTTAACCACGTAATCAAGGTTAACATCACCAGTCTAAGTCATGTTGATATTACACACTCCTCATAAGACGTAATGAGAAGGTTATCTCTCCTGTGCTATTCTCCCCTCAAATCTGTAATCCCAGACTAGTTATGAGAAAACATCAGACAAATCCAAACTGAAGGACATTCTATAAAACACCTGACCAGTACTCTTCAAAAGTCTAAAGCTTATTAAAAAAAAAAAGACTGAGAAATTGTTACAGACCTCAGGAGATTAAGCACACTTGGTGAATAAATGCCATGAGGTATCCTGGATTAGATCCTAAAACACAAAAGGACATAAATAGGAAAATGGGTGAAATCTCAATAAAGTCTATGCTTTAATTAATAGTATTGTACCAATGTTAATTTCTCAGTTTTGACAAATGTACCACAGCTATGTTAACATAAGTGGAAAATGAGATATGGAAACCCTTTGTACTACCCTTGCAACTTTTCTGTAAGTCTGTAATTATCCCCCCCAACAACAATGTGCGAAGTGACAAGTCCTGGGTGGGACCATACCTCTTATGAAGGAGATCTAGTTTCAACTTGTATGTGGGTGCATGGGATAGTCTAACAAGACTTCTCAGAGAGAATAAAATCCAGTTGCATGCAAAAGACAGTGAAAACTACAGCGGTAGCATCATGAAACATTCAGTAACTTCTCATAGAATTGTATGGGTTCAACAAATGGGGCGGGGTGGTACATGGGGTGAAAGAGAGTAGCACGAACAACACTAGAGAAATAGTTTTGGGCTCTTGGGATGAAACTGACACAGCATTGACTTTCTGTAGGAAACTGTATTAGTCCACTCAGGCTGACATTTAAAAAATACCATACACTGGGTAGCTTAAACAACAGAAGTTTATTTCTCATGGTTCTGGAGCCTGGGAAGTCCAAGATTGGGAGCCAGCATGGTTGCATTCTCATGAGGACTCTTCCTAGCTTCTTCCTAGGCTGCCTTCTTACTGGGTCTTTACATGGTAGACAGAGATGGTGTCTCTTCTCATAAGAGCACTAATCCCATTGAGATCCCCAACCTCATAGCCTCATTTAAACCTAATTACCTTCCAAAGGTAATTAAACCTAATTACCTTCCATCTAGTGATACATCCATGAAGTTAGGGCATCTACATAGGAATTTTCAGAGGGGGGACACAAACATTCAGTCCATAACAGAGATCTTATAAGACAATGCTCTGTTCTCCACCCGTGGGATAGATATACCCCATGATAGACTTGATATGCTGAGGTTATAAAGATAAA